ATATTTTAAAAATACACTAGCAAGAAAAATACATCTTAGGATATACATTCTTTATAAAAAAGAAAGATCCTTTAGTGTGTTCAGAAAGCTTTAAAATAATAAAAATGAGAAGTGGAAACACAATTATTAAACATTCACTTTGACACCTCGGACAGGCAAGAAACTAAAAATGACCAAAATCTATGCAAAGAAGAGCAACAATGGAAATAAAGGGCCAAATATATAAAACTCAAAACTGATGATGTGAAATAAAAATATGAGCCTCAAAGCTGATGACCAAAATAAAGTAATACTTAAATTAGCTTTTCCTAGCTTTATAATTTATACTCCAATAATACTGAACTTCTTTGAGTTTCCTTGTTTACACCATTCATAGTGTTTATTTCTACTTTTTTTCCTCATGCTGTTTAATAAGTGTAAAATACTTTTATGCTACTCGTTCATATTTTTTATGGCTGGCCCACTTTATTGTTAATTCTCTGCTCAAATATCATCCCAAACTTGAAGCATTTTTTTTTTTTTGCCTGCTTCCTCCCAAGGATCTGAACCCCACACTGTGGTCCCATAACATCTAGAGGCATCCATGTGTATCTAGGTAATTTAACTTACTTCATTGTATTGTGATTCTGTTTCATATCTATCTTCTTATCCCAACACTTTTCTTGAGGTCAGAGCTATCTTATTTATCTTCAGATCTCTAACACCTAGCACATTTTAGAAACTCAATACATACTTCCTGAACTGAACTGGACTGGTTGGTAATGATATCAAAGATAAGCCAGATACTACAAATGCTCACCAGGGCAAGAATGTCAGCTGAGCCTGAACTGCAAGTTTGGACATCCAATATCTCAAGTCAATATCCAAAGTCTGAGGCTCTTTTGATAATAACAATCCTATAACCCTTGAGTGGTTAGCCTACATTATCTCATTTAACTCTCATAGCAAGAATGTCAGCTGAGCCTGAACTGCAAGTTTGGACATCCAATATCTCAAGTAAATATCCAAAGTCTGAGGCTGTTTTGATAATAACAATCCTACAACCCTTGAGTGGTTAGCCTACATTATCTCATTTAACTCTCATAGCAGCCCTATAAAGTAAGCATTAATACCTGAATTTTACAGAAAGAGAAATTGAGGCTCACAGACATTAAGTAACTTAATGTAGTTTTCATATCTACTGAAGGATAAACTGGGGTTCAAATCTTTGTCTCCCTTTAAAGTGCATACTTTAAAACACTACACTTAGCTGCCAAAGGAGGAAAAAATGGGACAGAAGAGGAATGACCATAGAATACAGAAAAGGTAGCAGACAGCAAAAGTAGCAATAGAGGTAAGAAGTATCAGTGAAGAACAGATTTACCATGAAGGAAGAGAGAAAAACAGCAATCTGGGGACACTGGGCCAAAGCTTTTAAAGGCAAACAGATTTTAAAGGCAAAATTTTGGCGCTGTAAAGACAGCCAAAGCTGGTCATGGTATCCCACGCCTATAGTTCTAGCTACTTTAGGAGTCTGAGGTGGGAAGATTGCTTGGGCCCAGGAGTCCGAGGCTGTAGTGTGCTATGAGTCTGGGCAATATAATGAGCCCCCATCTCTAAAAAAAACAAAGAAAGGAAAAGATAGACAAATGAGAACAAGATATCAGTCTAAAGGCAGCCTGGGCCTAATAGAACTACGTATGTCAGTGGTACCAGGATTGCCAGATAAAATACAGAAGACCTGTTAAATTTGAATTTCAAATAAACAATGAATAATTGTTTGGTATGCAATATTTGTAATATACTTTAAAAATTCATTGATTATCAGAAATTCTAATTCTGGGTATCCTACATTTTTATTTGGTAAATCTGACAATGCTATCGAAGCCATGAGTATATTATAATAACTGCGATTCCCTATAGTAACCCAGAGAAATTAAGACCAAAGTGAATTATATTTGGTGCAGTTTACACTGCAAGCATTATATGCTCACAAAATGACATTCTTCAGATTGGTATCTTCAAACAGAGCCAAGGCTGGTGGTTTAGGGAGTTTAATGGCTTTAGGTCAGAGGTTGTTAGAAGACCCAGTAGAAAATAAAGACAACACATAAGAAAGAAGGCAGGGACTATGGTGATATACATTATTAAAGGATTTGTATTCAAAATAGTTAAAATACATTTTAAAAATTCAGTGCTTAGAAAATTAAGCCTCAGGTTCCCAGGTATCTCTTTACCAAGTATTTTATTCCTATGCTACTATAGTTCTTAAAACTATTGAGTTGAAATACAGCTCATGAGCAGGAAAAACCAGTTTGTTGTTTTAAGCTGCCAAATTACAGTAGTTGAATCTGGCTTGTTCTTGTTAGTTCTTCAGGGGAAAGAACCTAAATATAAACAGAACTGGAAAGGATTGCCAAAGATTATCTACTTGTCCATCATTTACTTCCAACAGGAGTTGAATGAGGTTACTTCCATTACAATAGCTCAACTGTCATGTGATCCTTTAGTTCTGAGATGGATCTTAGAATTTAACACTATATACAACATGTATAGGTGTGAAATAAACTTACCTTTCATTTCCTCCTTTAACCAAAGAGGGGTGCTTCAGTGGCTTCTACTTGGCTTTTCCTGTTGTAGTAGGCTTACTCTTGAGTCCAGAGCCCAGAGTGTGATTTCATGGAAGTGAGGCCCTCTCCTCCTTCCATACATTCAAAAACTGGGGAAATTACCCTGCATGATTGCTTCCTTATGGGGCTTGTTGACTATGATCAAGGTTTCAGTTATCACCTGATGCTCTAAAGTTATGTTTCGATCAATGAGTTGGTTTTATCTCAAAGTCAGGGTTAAATATAAATGAAAGCATTGGGGATTCCATTTACCTTGTGCAGTAACCTGATAAAGGCACCACCTAGTCTTTGTGGAAGACTAGGAAGAAGGTATACAGTATGTACTCGTGCTGTTAAAGGGGGCCTCTTAAGTCTGGGAATAGGTGGGGGGCTGCACCTCTAACGCAGTTGGGCCTCTATTCACCAGTCCTAGAGTACATTTGATTATGAAGTTCATATGCAATTGGATTGTGCTATTCACCAACTATTTCCCAATCTCTACCAGCAGGGCACTTCCTAAAGTAGGATGCACTTTCTGGCTCTCTTGTTGAGTGGGACCACATGACTAGTTCTGGGCAATGAGTTATGATTAGGTAATGTGTGTCACCTCAGGGAATTGAATTGAATTGCCAATTTGTGACTGTACAAAATTCTCCTCTCTGCTTTAGAGTCTGGAAATGTGCATGTTCGTGATTGTTTCATCAGACTATAGTCTAGAGTGAGGAGATATAAAGAGAAGATCCCAGTAACATGCAATAAACATATAAGTGTGAACAAGAAATACATTTTTATTATTTATCTCATTAAGATTTTGACAAAACCAGGCATATATTGATTAATTTAGAAACTGATAGGTGTATTTTAACAAAAATATGACTTCTGTGGCATTGACTTAGGAGTCAAGTAACAGGGACTAGTACATTAATTTTAGAAGCTTAAAGAATGATAATCTATGCTATGCTATGGAATGTTTGATAAAACTGCAACCTACAATAACTTGAAAGTTAAATAAAATAATGAACCTAATAAGTTCATAGCTCCAGGAGAAGAGACTAGAAAACAAATAGTAGTTAATAGTATGTGTAGGTTAATATTGGCTATATTTTACAAGACACTTCATGAAAGATAAGTATTCAGAAAATAATTGACTAATTTATAAGCAGGAATAGAAAGGAATAAATAGAGATTGCATAGAATTGTAGGAACTTGCATGGTTTCAAGTGGCAAATGCTTTTCAAATTGAAGCCTTTAAACCAAAAAAAGGCTATTAGAACTAGGCCTTTAGATAAGGATCAAATAAGCAAGCATATCTCCATCACACTTTCATGTCTTTAAAATCTCTAAATGGACTGAGATGTCACCCAGTAAGTCCTTTCAAGTGGATGAAATGGTTCAGTAAAAAGAGAATAAAGGTATTGTTCTCCTATCAAGATTTATGGGCTCGAGGGACCAGGAATTAAGTACATAGATAAACAGAAATGAATCAAGGAAAAAACTGTGGGTATGGCTATTGGCCCATGAAGTTGGTTGGAATCAAATAGATAAGAAGCCAGTAATGTTGACAATTGTAGTGCCAAAGGAACCAAGAGCCTGGACAAGACTTAACATGTTTTCTTGGCCTCCTGCCCTCTATAGACAGGAAATGAGCTCAAAACACTGTTTAGCCTCCAAACACTACATATTTTCCAATGCCCACTTTCAATATAGCTAAAAAAGATGATAAAGAAAGGACTCCCTCCTAGAAGATCAAGTGACAATGAATTGGGCAGCCCCTCCTATAGGGCAGAACTAGCATCTAATTCAAAGAGTATTCCCTACACCCACAGCAGTGGGACCTCACAATATCTTGTCACTGACTAGTTCTGTTTGTTTACCTCACCCTCATTCTTTTCTATGACTCCCCACCTCCCTTTCCTCTAATATATATTTTCTGTTATCTAAAAATTTGCCTATTTAGATATTTCATATGTATCGTTGTATAATACTCACCCTTTTTTGTTTAGCTCATTTCATTTAGCATAATGTTTTCAAGGTCCATACATGTTGTAACCTGTATCAGAACTACATTCATTTTTATAGCTGAACAATATTCCATCGTATTTCTATATCTCATTTTATTTATCTACTATCCATCAGTAGTAAAGATGGGATTCTCACCATGTTGCCCAGGTCTTAAACTCCTGGCTTCAAGCAATCCTCCTCCCTCTGCCTCATCCCAAAGTGCTGGAATTATAGGACTAAGCCACCATGCCTGGCCCTCATTGTGGTTTTGATTTGCATTTTGCTAATGACTAATGATGTTGAGCATCTTTTCATGTATTCATTGGCCATCTCTGTATCTTTTTTGGAGAAATGTCTACTCTAGTCCTTTGCCCATTCTTGAATTGGGTTGTTTGTTTTTTTGTTGTTAACTTCTAAGGGTTCCTTATATATTTTGGATAGTAAACCCTTATTGCCAAATCCAAGGTCATGAAGATTACCCTTGCTTTTTAAGCTAGACTAATTGTTGTGGTATCATTCCACTGGGATAAAGGTTTAACAAACTGCTTGGTATCAACAGCTGGACTTCAAAGAGAATGATGAGTGCTGAGAATCAAAGAGATTCAGCTACTAATTAGTTACCCAGACTGGGCTGAAGTCTAATAGGAAAGTGCCCCCAAATACTTGTGGAATAAGCTGACAATTCAAACAAAAACTAAGAATATGAATAGGGTTTTAAATTTTTACTTATTTATCTTTCTCTTTTACCATGAGCAAATTGGGAAAACAAAGTCAATGTAAATTGATTTTATGTAAAGTTGTAGTACATTTCAAGTGAGGCCAGAAAAAATGCAGATTAATGTTTAGCCAATATATCTGATTTTAACCAACTCAAAGTATTCATAAAATGAACTCTGCAACAAACACACAAAGTGTAGGAAATAGAAAATCCAATAGTAATTAAGAAAAGAATGAGAAAATGTATATATTAACACCCAAATTAAAGTGTCAATGTTTTATACTACTCAGACACCTAGGTGCTCTTTATAGCAGTTTAAGACAATAGTCTTCTACCAGTCACAGTTAACAATTACCTATTAACAACTCTTTATATATTCAGGATTAAATTTTCAGGTGTTTTAAAATGAAGACCAGGACAACAATTTTTGCTCCTTACTGCTGTGTACCACAAGTTTGATTCTATGATATAATGCAGAGAGAATGTCTATTCATATGACTTTAAGCATTGCGATAATTTGTGAAAAGTCTAAGCAGTTTATAAAAAGACTTATAAAAGTGAAAGTGCCTGTTACCACAAGATATTACTTTCAAGCTAGATAAGTTCTGATTCAAATACGCTTAAAGCAATACAGCCTACATAACATAAAACTTTTAAGTATATCTCAATAGGTCATACCAACATAGTAAATTTTAACTATTTCAAAAGGTACAATTTCCAGCTCAGGTTAAGATGCCATAACATACTCTACCCTATTTCTCCCAATGACTACAACAAAAACCCTGGACAGAATACATGGAACAAATAACTGAGATTAGTATAGTAAATAATAAAAGTAATAAATAGTAGCAGACAAATTGTGGAAGAAATCAAAACTTAAAGAAAGACCAACAAAATGGTGAGTTTCATATTTTTTCCCCTCTATTATCTCAAGGGGACCCAAATTCTGGAACATTGCAAAAGGCACAGCCAAGAGATAACCTCTCTCTTTAATAAGATGACTGGGAAGAGGACCCTCTGGAGATGGAAGAGAATGGGAAATATTCTGTTTTTGTTTTCATTTTCCTCTATTTGCTCTGTAGGGCCCCAGTTCTAAAGCTGCACCCACCCTGTAGGCAGTGACTATAACAGCTTGCTGATTTGCCTTGAAGATTACCTAAGTCCATTTGGGCTGCTCTAACAAAATACCTTAGACTTGGCAATTTATAAACAACAGAAATGTATTGCTCACAGTTCTGGAGGCTGGGAAGTTCAAGATCAAGGCACTAGCACATTCAGTGTCTGGTGAGGGCATGTTCCTCATAGACGGTGTCTTCTGTGTCCTCGTGTGATGGAAGGGGCAAAGGGACTTCCTCAAGCCTCTTATATAGGGTGCTAATCCCATTCATGAGGGCTCCACCCAAGAAAAAGAAAAAGGGGGACACCAACATTCAGACCATAGCATAGAGAGATCCCATTGTGGGAGGTGTCTGACAGCACAGGAAGATTAAAAGTACTCAGACACCTGGCCAGGTATTTCGGCCAGAGGACCAGGAGAAGGAGCTCTGAGAACCAGAGGGTATTATGGAGATTTTGGAGAGGAGGAGAACAAGGAAGGTTGAAGAGTCCTAGGATCATCCCCAAGGTGTTCATGTGTGAAACTAATCTGAAGTGGAAGACTGCAGGGGAGGAAAGACTTTCCCACTACCCTTCTAGGTTAGAGAGCTAGGTCTAAGAAATAGACTGACAATAGGCAGATAAATCAGAGAAAGAATATACAGATTTATTATGTGCATGGGGGCACCACAGGGGGAAAAAGTGAATACCCAAAAAAGTGGTGAGATTTCGGAGCTTACATACCATCTTTACAAGGGAAAGGGGAGAGGGAACGTAGGCAACTTAGAGAAGAGTAAATTATTTTTAGGAAAGATGAACAGGCTCTTAGATGAATAGATAGGAGATACAATAGTCTGTGACAAAGTTTGTCTGGTGATGGTATCTAGTCTCCTCTCCTGTGATAATAGTAACTCTTCCCCAGTTGATGAAACACGGCAGAGAACTGATGACAACTGAATTCTTTTTGGAGGATCTGTCTAGGCAGTTAAGAGGAGTTCAGAGAAGACTCTCCTTGCATTTGTTGTTTTTCAAGTATCTTCAACCAAAGTGGTATATTTGAGGTGGCATATCCTGAACTCCTTCAAGACCAAAGGTGTTGAACATTGGCCTGTGGTGTAGAATACTGCCAAGGTCTCATTTAGCTGCTTGGGGAAATACTCATAAAAGAGATCCATATACTGAGCAAAAGCTTGAAAACTGAAATTACATTGGAACCATGGCCCACAGAAGGTAGACCAAGACTTTTGGTTTAACACAACTAGGACTACTATCTACTAAAACAAAACAAAGAAAAAAACTCCAACATTTCCCAGAGGATTTTAACAGGACTTAAGAGTCTCATAACACAACTAAAACATCTAGGATATAATGCAAAATTGCTCAACAGTTGAAAAAAACAACAAAACCAAAAACAGGAAAATTGCAGGAACTCACAGGGGAAAAAAACAACAAACCCCAGTTCAAGATAACTCAGGTATTACCTTATCAGACCAAGACTCAATAGCTTGATAGCAGAATGGAAAAGAGGAAACAGTCTATGAATTTGAAGATCAATAGAAATTATCTAATCTGAACCACAGAAAAAAATATTGAAAAAAATTTGGACAGAGCCTGAGGGAACTGTGGAACAGTATCAGATATTCTGACATTCATGTCACTGGAGTACCGAAGGAAAGGAAAATGAAATTAGTTCAGAAAAAAATATTTGAAGAACAAAGTTGGAGGACACAGAGTACCCAATTTTAAGAATTATTATAAAGCTATAGTAATCAAGACATTATGGAATTAGCAAAAGCATGTACATGATTAATAGAAGAGAATAGAGTCCAGAAATAGACTCAGACACATATAGTCTACTGGTTTTTGACAAAGGCACAAAGTCAATTTAATGGAGAAAATATGCTCTTTTCAAGAAATTGTAGGGGATCAATTAAACATCCAAATGCAAAAATGAACCTCTGTTTCCACTTTATACTTTGTACAAAAATTAACTCAAAAATGAATCATAGACTTAATTATAAAACAAAAAAAAAACACTATAAAACTTTAAAAGGAAACATGAGATGAAATCTTCGTGACCCTAGGTTAGGTAGACTGTTTTTAGATATGACACCAAAAGCACAATGCATAAAAGAAAGACAACCCAGAGGTAAGAAAGCCTTGGCCTCATCCCCATCAGGAGACAGCCTTAACTACTCACAAAGAGCTAGATTGTACTGGGGACTGGTTTCTCATGAGTCATTAGGAAGGTCAGTTGTTCTCTCTTAAGTAGGCGGCTTAGCACACTTCTGGAGACGAGACTAGTAGTCTGGGGCTGGAGACTGACAGCCAATGTCCAATAAAGGTTACCTTCCTTTCCATAACACTCCATCTCTTTTATCAACAGCAAGAAACCTGAAATCCAGAGAAGTCATTAAAAAACCCCTTCTGGCTGCAACCTGAAAGCATCTTCCAAGCCAAACTGGGGGTAGAGATGATGACTCCAATTTCAGTGGGCCTCTTCTTTGATAGGGGAGCAGCCAGAGAAGAAGCTGGTATTGCTGGCCAGAGCTCGTTTCTTTTTTTTCCCTGGAGGCTTTTTTTCTCGGGATTCTGTTGCTACATGTTTCAACTCTGGAAGGTCAGAGGAGGAGGAAACTGAGGCAGTCTTCTTTAGCAGCACCTGGTCCACATCACACATCTCTTTCAGGATCTTGCTGTTGGGAGTGGCACAGACGGGATTGAAGAAGCTCGATCCTGGGGTCACTTCTGTGGGATCCTCCAATTTGAAGGAGCTTTCGGAATCCTGGGTCCGCTCAGTAGTGACCAAGCTATCCTTGCCTTGGTGGCGGTTCCGACACTTTGCGGGGTCACAGCTGCAGTCCACACCACAGCCTGACTTTTGCTTCCTGCACCCACACTGCTTGTTCCCACACCAGCCCTTGCAGGAGCACCCTTGGACATTCTTCCTGGACACTTTAACTAATTTTGTTGGCTTCCATTCCTCATCATCCCCATCATCACCGTCACCATCACCATCCTCATGCTCATTCACAGAATGCTCTAAATAATCTTTTAGATCCTCAATGTCCATGGTTTGGTCCAGGAACTTCTCTTTAACACGAAAAGGTTTTGGTTTAGGTGGGATATATTCAAAAGAAGAGTCTAGAGATAGAAGGGTATCCTTAGGAAGATGTTTCTGTCTGCTGGCTGCTTGGAGGAGAGTCAGTTTCTGTTTGATGATTTCATTTTCTCGAAGAAGCTGCTGATTTTGTTCACACACTTCTCGCACCTTTTCAAGTTCTTCATCCTGGCACTTCAGTGTGTTCAACAGCTGCTGTTCCTTTTCGCTGACTGACTCCTGTAGCTGCTTCTCTGCCATTGGTCTTTGTTGCAGTTGGCTGAGAAGGCACAGCACCTTCTCTTGGTGTCGTTGCTCTATTCTGAGCTGCTCAGCTTGTAACTCTGTCTCTACTTCAGCAAAATGATTTCGTTCCTCACACAGCATCTTCTGTGTGTCAGCACAGCTGGCCTTGCTCCGTTTCAGGCTGCTTTCAAGCTTGCTGACCTGTATTTTGGAGGAGACCAGCTCTCCAATTAAATATTTCAGGGCACACTTGGCTTCCAGAAAGGTAGCAATATTCTCCCACCGTTGTTTTGGCCTGTCTTCACTTTCTGCATCCAGCAGCTTCTGCTGTAGGTCACCAATCTGAGCACTCCTGAGTTCCATTTCAGTCTCTAGGCTTTCAATCTGCTTTGTAATAGAATCCTCTGACTCTGAAACTAGACCACGCGCTTCAGCAAATGAGAATGTACGCCTCCGGAGTTTAGGAGGTGGATTCTCCCCAGATTCTCTTTTTTCTTTGAGTTGAGCCAAATCCTGAGCCAGGATCTTTCTGTCTTCAAGAAGGTTATTCAGATGACGTTTGGCTTCTTCAGTACTCACCATTACTTCAATTTCATTTCCAAGCCAATTCTTCACTCGAACTGCAGTGCCTTCCATTCCACGGCTCAGAGTCTCTTTCCGCTTATCTGCCACCTCCCGTTGTTTCTGAAGAGCATCCTTGAGACGCTTGTTGGCAGCTGCTGCCTCCTCGGTTTTACGTCTGAGCACATTGGATTGTTTCTGGAAGTTTCTTTCAAGTTTGAGCAACTCATATTGCCTCTTACGGTCTTTTTCTTTTAACTGCATTACTTCTTTGTCTTTTCGATGCTTCCACTGTCTAAACTTCTCAGCATCCTCTTTCATCTGACGCATTAACTGTACCCGCTGGTTTTTCATCATTTGAATCTCCTGGTTCAGTTTGGAGACCGTATACTCTGTGGATTCCTTCAATTTCAGAAGTTTGGACTGTTCGTTCAGTTTCTTCTTCAGATCAGCCATTTGACCCTCCAGCTCCTGGAGACGTTTGCGGCGGCGCTCACTCAACTTAGCTTGGTTGACATCTTTCTTTGCTGTCTGAAGTTCAAGAACCAATTCTTCCTTTTCCTTTTGCAGATTGATGACGTCTAGTTCTAGAGTTTTGATGTTATCCTGGTACTGGAACTGAATGGGGTGTAGTTGGCTATCAGTCTGAGTCATCTTCCTAGCTAGGGCCTCTTTCAGTGCAAGGGCTTTATTCAACTCAATCAGCTCCTTAGACATTTGAGCTTGACGGAGAGCATGCTGAGTGGTGAAGGCATCAGAAGACCTGCTGGTCTCTGGACTGGTTTCCACTTGAGTTTCTGGTTCCACTGCAGTATCAATGGCTGCAGCCATGCAAGCAACGGTTTCATCCGATAACTGGGTAATCAATTGCTGTAGGCTACATATTATCTCTATATTTTCTTTTAATTCTTGGTCTTCCAAAGTCTCCACTAGCTTTTGAAGATCCAGTTTGCAGGCTGCATGCTGCCTGAGCTCTTCTAGCTTGGCACTCATTTTTTCATTTGCTTGCTCTGTCAAAATGATCCTCTCCAACATCTGGGCTGTCTGACCAGCTGCCTCGCTCAGACCATGACTTAATTTTTCATTCTGTTCTACCAGAGACTGATTCTTCTCCATCAGGGATTGTAGATTTTCTGATGGTTCCACATTCATAGATCCAGGCAGGGTACCTCCATGGGCTTGTAGCAACAAGACCTGTAGCTGTTGTACCTGTTGCTTTAGATGATTAAGTTCAGCCATCTGGGGATCAATATTAACAATAGGTTTGTTCTTAATTTTTCTTGCTCTGTCAGCATAACGAAGGGTATTTAATGTTTCCTCTAGATTGGAGTCAGCAGGACTCACACAGGCTATCATAAGAGTATGGCTGTTACCTCCTAGAGAATCTTGAAGCAGTCGAGTCAACTTGGAATCTCTATAGGGCACAAAGCCACCCTTTTTGTCATCTCCAAGAGCACTGATTACATTTCCCAAACACAGGAGGCCTCGATTAATATTAATACCCTCTTTTAGACGATCCCCTTCAGCCTTGGTTTTCTTCTGCCTTTCTGATCCAGCAAGGTCTACAAGATGTAGCTTGGAGCGAAAGCTACTATTCTTGTCACTTTTCTTTCTTTGCTCTATGGAGATTGTAAAGATGGCATGAGATCGGGATGACTGGGAGTTCATAGCTGTGGAGGCCACAGTCCTACAATTGTTGCCCTGCTCCAAACAGGAAACAGTATCCAGGGCAACTAAAACAGCCTTCTCAGTGAGTCCTACAATCTTTATGCCTTCTTTAGGGTCCTCCCGTATATTTATTTGAGGTGCTTTCTCACGAGAAGGGCATAGAAGATCCAAAATTTCTTCATTGTAAACCTCCAAGTAAGACACTTTCAGAGTAAATTCAAAGTCACTCTTTTTATCAATTTCTTTGAAGAGCAGTTGTATTACCCTAGGAATGACCCCAACTGTTGGCTCATTTTCTTGTTCTGCAGTGTATGCACCTCCCATCGAATAGGTTTTTCCAGAGCCAGTCTGCCCATAGGCCAGGACAGTTGCATTATATCCTTTAAATACGCCTTTTATGAGTGGCGCTACTGCCGTGTCGAAGACTTCTTCCTGCTCAGTGGAAGGGTCAAACACGAAATCGTAGGTAAAAGACTTATCAGTGCCAACCACCACCTGAGGCTCCCCCGGCACGAAGGAAAGGCACATGTGGCATCCCTCGCTAATCTCTTTGGGGACCAGAGGGCGACAACGCAGAGCCACTCTTACAGGAATTCCCTTTGCCTCTTCCTTCATGATCCTACCTCAGCGCCGCCGTCTCAAACCAGACGTCCCTTTCCGGTCTTCCCCGGTGTCCCGCCGCCCTGTCCCAACCGGAGCTTTAACCGCCAAGTTTCAAATCGGTCCCCGTGACGCTAACCAATCAGAGCGCAGACAGCCTGTGGGCGGAGCACGCACGGCTGCGCGCGCAGGTCACGAGCTTTCTGTTGTTTGGGGGTTTTTTGTGTGTGTGTATAAAATATTTTTTTATTGCAAACAAAATCTGAGGTATGAGAAGCTGATCTAGAATTGAATTCAACATCAAAATTAAAAAAAACATTTTCTCTGAAAGACACTGTTAAGAGAATTAACAAACTGCAGACTTCTATTTTTGAAAATAGATAATGTTTGAAAATTGTCTATCATGACAATCACCTGTTGGCAACTATTTTGATAAAATTTGAAAATCACCTGTCTGACAAAGGACATATATGCGGAATATATAAAGAATTCTCAAAACTTAAAAAGAAAAAAAAAATCCCTGTGTGTTGTAGGATATGTAGGAAAAAAAGAAAGAAAAAGATAAAGAAGAAAAGAAGAAAAAAATCAGTTTAAAAAATGGGCAAAGGATTTGAACAGACACTTCCCCAAAGAGGATACAGATGACAAATAAGCACAGGAAAAGATGATCAACATCATTAGTCATCAGGAAGAAAAATCACAGTAAGATACCCTTACATACCTGTTAGAATGGCTAAACAAAAAAACTGACAATACCAGAGCCTGACAAGGATGTGAAGCAACTTAAATTATCATTCATTTTGTTGCTGAGAATATAATATCACATAGCCACTCTGGGAAAAAAGCGTGGCAGTTTCTTAGAAAGTTAAACATATACTTAAATGACCCATCAACCCGGCTTCTAGGTATTTACTCAAGATAATTGAAAACTTATGTTTACACAAATCCTATACATGAATGTTTATAGCAAACTTATTCTTAACTGCTGAAACCTAGAAACAACCCAAATGTTTTTCAGTGGATGAATGCATAAACAGATAGTTATATATCTGTATAATGGGATACTATATGATTCTATTATATGAAACCCAGGAAAAGGCAAAATTATTAGGAACTAAGAGTAGATCAACAGAAGCATAAAAAATTTTTTTGGAGTGATATAACTGTACTGTATCCTGGTTATAATGGCGGGTATGCAAATCTATGCATGTGTTAAAACTAAGAGAACTTGACACCAAAAAAAGTAAATGTTAGTCTCTGTATGTATACATATATAAAATACCTTTAGCAGTGGTAATCTTTTTTTAAATTAATTAATTTTTTTTTTAAGAGACAGGGTCTTACTCTGATACTTAGCCTGGAGTGCAGTGGCCCAATCGTAGTTCATTGCAGCCTCAAACTCCTGGGCTCAAGTGATCCTCCTGCCTCAGCCTCCCCAGTAGCTAGAACTATAGGATAGGCATGCACCATCGTCCTTGGCTAAGTTTTTTAATGTTTTGTAGAAATGAGGTATTCCTGTGTTACTCAGGCTGGTCTCAGATTCTTGGGCTCAAGTGATCCTCCTGCCTCAGCCTCCTAAAATGCTGGGCTTACCAGCATGAGCCACCACGCCCAGCTCAGTGGTAAACTATAAAATCACCTTTGCCTTTACCACAGGTTGTTTTGGTGGTATTTTTGGTGAGCTGGCATTCACCAGAACAAGTAAATACTATGTTATGATTTTTACAACAGGGAGGTACTAGGTATTTAGGAAGCGTGTATATAACAAGGTATTGATATTCCTCCCCTTCAAGTCCTGTGCTGGGAAGACCACTCATTTAATTAAGGAGTTACTCCAGATGTGCATGGCTGTGTGGTCATTTTTCTAGCTCCCCACTACTACTACCGAGCCATTTTCCCCTCACTGACAAGGAAGACAGATTTTCCCTTTCCATTCTTACCATCTTATGCCCCTGCTTATCCCTGACATCTGCTAGTCGCCTCTCCACATTTCTGAGGAGTATTAGCATGTGATTTAGAGTCTAGTTCCTCAATTCTACTTTATTTAGCCACCTACATCCATGGCCTCATTTTGGCCTTTATCAACAAGATGCTCTTCCTCTGAAATAATAAGCCCCATAGTTTGGTATTTATCCAAAACTTCCTTTCTTTTCAGCTCTGTCATTTTATTACTCCCACTATACCTATTATTTGGATTCTTCAGGATTTCCAGTCACTTTGTTTCTTCCATTTGTCTTATTCTGTTTCCTTTTTTCTTTCTTCTTTTTCTATCTGGCTTTGACCTTCACTGTACCTCTTCCCATTACCTTCCATTGCCCTGTCCTCTCATACATACTTCTATTCATTTATCCACAATTCTCCTAAATTGGATCAATCCAGTGATTTCCTTTCCCCTTCATTGTGGTGGGATTCAGTTGACCAATCTGCCAAAGATTTCTGGAGAAAATTATGCAACCACACAATTTAGTGGATTAGAACCATTGCAAATTTATGGTCTTCAGTATTAAATATCTACCTCATGGTGATCTTCGGTATCTTCAGTCATTTCTCTCTATTCTTCACAATGATCATTTTCAATCACACAGATCTCCTCTAGCCCCTTATGCGAACCATCCCCCTCACACACATACCTCAAAAAGAAAACTGAAGGCCGGGCGCGGTGGCTCACACCTGTAATCCTAGCACTCTGGGAGGCCGAGGCGGGCAGATTGCTTGAGGTCAGGAGTTCAAAACCAGCCTGACAAGAGCGAGACCCCGTCTCTACTATAAATAGAAAGAAATTAATTGGCCAACTAATATATATAGAAAAAATTAGCCGGGCATGGTGGCGCATGCCTGTAGTCCCAGCTACTCGGGAGGCTGAGGCAGCAGGATTGCTTGAGCCCAGGAGTTTGAGGTTGCTGTGAGCTAGGCTGACGCCATGGCACTCAGTCTAGCTTGGGCAACAAAGCGAGACTCTGTCTCAAAAAAAAAAAAGAAAAAGAAAACTGAAGATATCAGGTAACTACTTTTTCCGCTTCTTGCACTACTCCTGTGGTAGGTAGACAGAATTCTAAGATAGTCTCTCTGATCTACACCCTCAGGGTCGTGCCTGTGATTAGATTATGTTAGGAGAGACAACATGCAACTTTACTTGAGCCTTGTGATGCTTAAGAAATCCCCTCAGCCTTTTGTTTTCCAAAATTACACCACCCCTTTGTGTTATGAGCAGTGGCTTATCACAAAAAACACTTTTCCCCATATAACTTAGATAAGATTTTCTGACTTTTTTGTGATTCCCATAAGAGTCCCCCGTGACTCCATTGTTTACCTGTGGCAAGCTCCTTTTACATGAACCTGCTCAAAGGGCAGATACAGACCCTCAACTTCCATTCTTTGCCTCATGATTGGTAAGCTGACATTTGTACTGTTTGTCTCCCTGAAACTAGCTATCCACAGGTAAATCAGCTAATCAACTAAAATATCCCTTGATTGCAAAACAGCTTCAGCTGTAAATCATCCCATCTACAGCTTCTTTACCCCTCCCTGTAAGAAGGTTAAGGCATAATCACCTGTGGAGACACTCTGCTCCTTGCATCTGGGGTGTTCTTTCTAGTGCAATAGCCTGAAAAAAGTCAATATTCTTCCTTGCCTAGTTTTTGCCTATTGCACTTTCAAAAGGCTCAGACTTTGTGATGCCATGATTCAAGCAGGCTTGGATCTTAGCTTTGGATGCCTGTTTACCTCACCCAGGCAAGGAGGTCTCTCCAGGCCCTGTGCTTTACTCCTGCCCGGTGATCCAGAGATGCCAACTCCTGGTCCTGAATCCAGATTCCTGTCGATCCGTGGCATAGTAAGGATTTAAATTTTATTATTACTTAAAATGTTTGTAAAACGAGATCTCATTATGTTACCCAGGCTGGTCTCAAACTCCTGGCCTCAAGCAATCCTCCCACCTCAGCTTCCCAAAGTGCTGGTATTACAGGAGTGAACTACTACACCCAGGTTCAATTGTATTACTTTTGAGTACTGGCTTGATTTCTGGTGCCATCTTCTTTTGGTTGTATGATCCAATCTTTTGGTTGTCTCTGTAAACTAAGTGGTTTATAAAAATCTTGTCTCTGTGGGTGAAAGACAGCAGTTTCTTACTTTTTTCTTTTTGTCTTTGTTTATTTTGAACTCAAGTCAATTAAGAATTTGTACCCATTGGGAAGAGAACTGCTCTAGTGAGTTTGTATTTTTGCTTGGCTGAAATTTTAAAATTGCAGCTATAAACTCCATATCTGGATATGTATATATGTTTTTATGTGTATTTTCTTACTGCCAGATGGTATTATTAAATTGTAAAAATCTCTTATGGGTGCTCTATTTAGATTGGTTTAGATATAAATAGAATTCCTAAAATTACCATACGTTTAGGAAATTGATCTTCCATAATTCAATGAGCTATAAAAAATGTATTTTTATAGAGATTAACTTAAATAGTTTAAGAATTCATTCATGTTATTTAGGTAAATCTTTGGCAAATGAGACTATTTTAATATTTCATTTAATAAAAACAGCTATGTCTTCTCAGTTATCTGTATTATTTAATAAAATATGAACATACATCTTTATTCTAATTGGGTATATTCTTCCTAAACTTATACAGGTTTACAGATCAAACAAGCTAGCATCACATCTATTAGATGTTTAAGATTATGAAAGATGTAAATTTGTGTTTAACCAAATTGAATCATTATTCTGGCAAACCTTATTTCAACAGTAATTATGTTTTGTAGTATGTCAGCTTGGAAATACTTTGTAAGATCTTAAAATATTGGATTGGGCCTTAAATGGTGGCTCAGCCTGTAATCCTAGCACTCTGGGAGACCGAGGCGGGAGGATTGCTTGAGGTCAGGAGTTCAAGATCTCCCTGAGCAAGAGTGAGAACTCGTCTCTACTGAAAATAGAAAAATTAGCCGGGCATGGTGGTGCATGCCTGTAGTCCCAGCTACGCTGGAGGCTGAGGCAGGAGGATTGCTTGAGCCCAGGCATTTGAGGTTGCTGTGAGCTAGGCTGACGCCATGGCACTCCTGCCCGAGCAACAGAGCAAGACTCTGTCTCAAAAAAAAAAAAAAAAAATCTTGGATTGATGCAAAATTGGGCCAGGATCGGGAAATGTTTGTGTGGAAATGAGTGAGATGAGAACT